TTTAGTATTCAGAGATCTGCATTTATGAGACCATGGCATAGAGAGAAGGGATTTAGATACGTAAAAAACTGGGAAGTTTTGGGGAACAGACACAGGACTTGAAAGATAAAGGACCAGCCACACCCTGTTAGCAGAGGCAGGCTGCTGGCACTGAAAATTAAGAAGGACGTGGTAGAGTATTTCAACATCTGAGCTGACAAGTGCAGAAAAGCTCCAGGGATGATAGGGTAGGACATGGGGTAGGGGAGTGTACATGTGGGATTATCTAAAGTATAACAGCGTAACAGTCATGATTGGAAAAGGCTCTCCCTGGCTGCTAGGATTTTCCTTCTGACCTCCGATCAGCATAATGATCAGAAAATGTAAAGGAGATTAGAGAAGCTGCAACTTGGGATAGGTAGCAATGATGGGAGAGTGTGATTACCTGTGTTGCACTGGATCAGCACCTCAACAGGATGAGAAACAGAGAGAAAATTCTGGGATGCACTAAGTGTCTGCTTCCTAAAACAACTATTCTAAAACCCCACAGAAAGGATGCCATTCTGGGTTTGGCCTTAATTTATGTGCATGAGTCCATTCAAGCTGTGTTAGCTGCTGTGTGACAGCAACTACTACACAGCCGGATCTGACACTGAAGCAAGAGAGAGCAGACCAGGTAAATCCAGCACACAAGTACTGGATTTCAAGAAGGGAATTATGTAAATATCCAGTTCGTTCAAACAAAAATGCTGCAAGAAGCTATCCAAAAGACAAGAAGCCTGCAACAAGGGTGGAGGCTGGATTGTTGTTGTTTGGGGGCTTGGGGGTTTTAAGTTTATTAGAAGCCCAGGTAAACTGTTCAGCTAGCAAGTGATCCAGTAAAAGCCCTGGGTGGTTTCATGAGAAAGCTAATAAGACTAAGGGAAAAGTTTGATTTTTTTTTTTAAGAAGTGGAAAGCTTACTCAAATGAGAAGAACAAGAAAGCCCATAAAACATGGCAGGAGAGAGGTAAACTGGAAATTAAGACTGAAAAAAATACAAAGAGTGGATCAAGGCATGCTAAAAAACAATAGCAAAAAGTTCTTTAAATAAAAA